TCGACATTCAACAACGAAACAAAGGGAAATTCGAAACTGGTCGAACTTCTTTCAAAACCCCAATGCAGCCCAAAACAACACCAACCAACAAACCTTCCACCGTATCTGAAAACCAAATTGCCCCTACCAGATCCCCACGACGGTGTTTCCGATGTCAGGGGTTGGGACACATTGCTTCTGAATGTCCAAACAAGAAGTTAGTTACTTTAGCCGAGTATGAGGAGGGAGACAACTCTTTTGCGGTTGACCCGTCGTTGGAAATGGTGGTAAGTGCAGACTCTGTTGTAGAAGTTGTCGGACCTGATGAAGGAGCTTGTCTTGTTGTACGGAGAACACTCAGTAATAGCCCTGATCGAATAGAAAACCTCCAGCAAGAAGCTATATTTCATACCCGTTGTACCGTCGCCCAAAAGGTCTGCACGATGATTATCGATGGTGGTAGTTTTACCAATGTGGCTTCACAAACCATGGTCTCCAAATTGAACCTGTCACCGAATCCCATCCGTCTCCTTATGTGATTCAATGGCTAAATCAAGGTAAGGGAATACGTGTATGTCACCGAACTCTTTTGTCCTTTAGTATTGGCAGAACTTATGAAGACCAGATTTGGTGTGATGTTATTCCTATGGATGCTTGCCACGTTCTACTCGCCCCCCCGTGGTTGGTTGATCGCCGGGTGATGCATGACGGCTATCAAAATACCTTTTCATTCACTCACAAAGATCGATGAATCATACTCACCCCAATGTCACCGGTCACCACTTCCCCTAAGCCCCTAAGTACTCTGTTGAAGGCTGAACAACACGAGTATTATTCTTTCAAGGACTTTATTCTTATGGGTCTTGATGAGGATTTGCCTAACCTCCCAACCACCCTTCACCCTTGTATCCAGTCTTTGTTACAAACCTATAAACATGTATTCCCTGCTGAGATTCCTTCCGGTTTGCATCCCCTACGTGCCATTCAACACAAGATCGACTTAATTCTTGGGTCGATATTACCTAACAAACCAGCTTATCGATCTAACCCACAAGAAACAGCCGAGATGAGAAAACAAGTTGATGGGCTGCTACAAAAGGGGCTCATACGCGAGTCACTCAGACCGTGTGCTGTTCCCACGATACTCGTGCCCAAAAAGAACGGCGAATGGGGAATGTGTATGGATAGTAGGTCAATCAATAAGATTACTATCAAGTACCGTTTTCCAATTCCCCGATTAAATGACCTGTTAGATGAGCTCCATGGTGCTTCCGTGTTTTCTAAGATCGATCTACGGAGTGGTTATCATCAGATCAGAATATATGAAGGCAATGATTGGAAGACAACTTTCAAAACCAAAGAGGGTTTATATAAATGGCTCGTTATGCCTTTCGGATTGTCCAACGCACCCAGCACTTTCATGCGCTTGATGAACCAAGTATTAAAACCTTTTTTGGGCAGGTTTGTTGTTTATTTCGATGACATCCTTGTGTTAAGCGGAACCGAACAGGATCACCACTTCCACCTTCAACAGCTGTTCGAGGTGTTGGATCAGGAAAAGCTCTATGGGAACTTAGATAAATGTGATTTTTTCGCTAATCAAGTAACCTTTCTTGGATATTTAGTTTCGGCACAGGGTATTCAGGTTGATGAATGAAAGGTTCAAGCTATTCGGGATTGGCCAGTTCCCCGATCTATTCAACAGGTTCGAAGCTTCCATGGTTTAGCTTCTTTCTATTGGCGATTTGTGAAGAATTTCAGCACCCTTGTGGCCCCCATGACTGAAATAACGAAATTAAAACAGTTCGTTTGGAACCCGCAAGCGCAGTCTGCGTTTGATGAGCTCAAGAATCAGTTGTCATCGACCCCGGTTTTGGCACTACTGTGTTTTGAAGAAGTCTTTGAGGTCGAGTGTGATGCTTTCGGAGTGGGAATTGGAGCTGTTCTATCTCAGTTGGGTCGCCCAATTGCTTATTTCAGCGAAAAACTAAATGAAGCAAAGCAGCGTTACTTGACTTATGACAAAGAATTTTATGCGAGAGTCAGAGCTTTGGATCATTGGCAACATTATTTGATCTCCAAGGAGTTTATATTACATTCTGATCATGAGGCACTTAAATACATTCAAGGGGAACACAGGTTACATTCTCGACATGCCAAGTGGGTGGAGTATTTACAAGCATTTAATTTCACAATTAAGCACAAGTCTGGAAAACTAAACAAAGGGGCTGATGCGTTATCTCGTAAATATGCATTGGTTAATTCACTTCGGCAGCGAATTGTTGGGCTCGAACTACTTACGCAAAACTACCCTTCTGATTCTGATTTTGGAGATCTATTTACCAGCTGTCAGACTCATGCTATGGGAGACTATCATATCTATAATGGCTATCTGTTTAAGAAAAACTGTTTATGTATTCCCAGGCATAGCATTCGTTTGCTCTTGATCAAAGAAACTCATGAGGGTGGACTAGCAGGACATTTGGGAATTGATAAGACCTTTACCATGTTACAACATCATTTTTTTGGCCCAAGATGGTGCGTGATGTGGAACATTATATCCGGCGGTGTTTACCCTATCACCTCGCCAAAAGTCACTCATCTCCCCATGGCTTGTACATGCCATTACCCGTACCTGTTGCCCCTTGGGAAGACGTTAGTCTTGATTTTATCATTGGATTACCCAGAACGCAACACCAAAAGGATTCTATTACGGTAGTGGTCGACCGTTTCTCCAAGATGGCTCATTTCATTGCTTGTCATACCACCTATGATGCTGTCCAGATAGCTAATCTCTACTTCAAAGAAATAGTTCGACTCCATGGAATCCCACGTTCCATGGTTAGTGACCGGATTCCATTCACCTCCAAACCGATGGGCAGACGGAGGTAACTAACCGTACTCTCGGGTCACTACTTCGTTCGCTTCTCAATGCTAATCTGAAACAATGGGAGGAATTACTACCTCAGGCTGAATTTGCCTATAATCGAGCACCCAACAAGACCACTGGACGCAGTCTTTTTATGGTTGTTTACGGGTTGGACCCAAGACACCGCTAGACCTTGCAGTCCTTGATACATCATCTAAATTTAATCAGGAAGCCAATGATCGAGCTGCAGATATTAAGGCCTTGCATCAGC